CTCTGTCTCTAGCTACATTAAGGTTTATATTTACTTGGGAAACAAAAAATTGACAGGAAATTTTTGTGACAGAAACAAGTGCAGAGCAGGCACACAGACAGAAAACAATTTATACGAATTCAACCATTTTTTCAAATCCCAAGTATAGATTTCGTTTTAACTCAACAGGTGTGAGAAGTATAAGGCAAAGTTGAATTAACCCCAGCAAGACTGCCGGAATGCTGTGGGAAGATTGAACATATTGCTTTTGAATTCTAAGTGATGTCCCAACTTACAAAACGGGAAGAGTTGTCATTCTTGACCGTCTTGGCGTTGCCGAAGGACTCCAAGATGGGATTGGCCTGCAAAAGTTGTGCCTCCAGCTCCCCCTGATTGCGACAGGGAAAAAAAGACACTAGAATGTTAGAAAATCGTTGAAGGGACGCTGCAGCATGGATACTAAGCATGCACACAACCTCATCAAAAATGCAACCTGAGTCAACAAATTAGCTTTGCACTTTGCTTTGACACTGACCATGCAATTCATACAGACATTAGAATTGGCAAACTGTAGAAAATATGCATATATTTAAATGAAAGTGAGAATGATTTAAGAAGGCTTCGCACAAAAAATGCATTTGACCATCAAATTTCTTTTGCAAAGCAGATTGTAATTTAAGACCTCATGCTCAAGCATGAAAACAAAGCTATTCTCAACCAAAATTTCTTTTCTGTGACCAAAAAATATAGCAAACATACAAGGAGATAATTAACATTTTTCAAGCCAAATGGCTATCAGAGAACCACCTTTTCTGAAGTACTAGGCTGAAATCTGATAACTGCTTTGGTGAGCAATATGGATTACCAACAATGTCACTCTTCAATAAGCAGATAAAATATTTCTCAACTGCAAGCAAGATCTATGACCTCTGACCTCAGGGTGGAAAACAAAGAAACTACAGTACATGTTTGTGTTCAACGGTGATGTTATCTGCATTTACTTGTGCACTGGGGAGACTAAACAAATATGATCCATCCTAAATAGACCAATTTGTGACATTTATGACCATAGCCAGACCAGATGGAAAACATGTTTAGTTCATGGCATTTTCTGTTCTATGATAAGTCAGCACAGATTTGTCAACTTTAGGTGAAAACTTTAAAAATTCTTTTCAATTATGAAAATCAAACCAATTAACTTGAATTAAAAAGAACAGCAGCAAAACACAAAGATTTTTGATGACCGAGAAACGAAACATGATTTTTTGGGGGCCTTAGAAGATGAGCTTATCTCTCAAAAGCAGGCTATTGCCTCAGTAAACAAAAAGAACTCGCACCTAGGTCAACACACATAAACACTGCTACAGACTGACAAAAATGCTGACGGCAAACTCTGTGAAGCACAATATATAGTTTGCAAAAAAGGGGGGGATTTGTTTTGGAAAAAACATGAAACAACCACAGCAAAAATAACAAAGCTGATGTACACCAAGGGATGTTGCCTTGGCAACGAAGTCAACATCTGAAGAAACAAAGCACCCAAAAATGCAAAAGTCAAAATCAATTTTAGCAAAACACGAACAGCACAGAAACAGCTGCGTGCCAACTGCTGAAAAATATGACAGACATACGGCTAGAAAAGTGACATCAAAGCATGAAGAAAAATATAGTATATGAATCCCATGGACAAGATGAAATCAAAGGTTACTAGAAATCAACATTTAGAGCTTCAAATTTATTCACAAAATACTAACAGCTTTTAAAGAGTTTTTAAGGTTGATTCACTTTTGGAAAAAATGTAGAAAACATCGTGCACGTACATGTATAATGACTTTTGAAATTTGATTTAAGTATAACTTAACGTGGAATCTCTAGATTTGAAGATACTACCATCTCATCAACTTTAATTTGTCAATTTATCCAAAACACTTCGACCTTAAAGGGACCAAAAAGGGTAATAAAGGAGATGTCTTTATCTGTTCATTTGCTGTCCAGTGTGGGTGTGAGACTAACAAAACAATTGCAGAAATTGGTTGCTGGCATTTCCAATACCCCCCCTCGCATTAATCTATTTATCTGATCTCACCATAATCCGTTTATGACATGCGCTTCATAAAAAAAAGTGCCTCCAAAGGTTGAAGACATACAAACAAGGCGAATGGCTTCCCTTGGGCCATCATGATTCATGGAGGAGATTGTTAGTAAAATTAAATTCTGTCCGTGACTTTTTTTTGGGGGGGGGGTGGGTGATATGCGCAACGGGAACAGTAGTTTTTCCCACAGGGAATGTGAGGCCAACTTATTGGATTATTAGGGCAGTACCATCTCAGATCTGTTAATGTGTCTGAATTTTCTCTTTTGTTTCCAGGTACTGGTAGTTCAAAGCTTCATATTAAGTTTTTTGAAAATACCAGAGCAGTCGTTGCAGTGCTCTGAACAAAAGTGACACACTAACCAAACAAAAAATCTTCAGGGCACAGAACATAACCTTACACGGTCAACTGGTCAGTTGATTCAATGACATGCACAATGCTTCAAGAAATTCAAATCTAAACTACAACTTTTCTGTTGAGTTTGTGCCCGCCAGAAATGTAAATGAGACAACTGAATAGATTTACATTTGGCCAGAAATAGGATATTGCACTCATTTAACATAAGAACAGAATGCTTTAAGAAGACAGATTGATTCAACTCAAGACTGACAACCACACAAGAGCAAACATGAAACACAGATACATGTAAAAGAGAGTACAGAGTGACAGAAAAATGCCCGCAAACAACTCAAAAGGATAAGCAAGAAAGACAAATTTGAAATGTAACATCAACATGAAAATGAATGCTTTCTAAAATGACTTACTGTAAATGTCTGGTAAAAAAAGTGAGGAGAAGTAAAGTAGAATTTATAAATCATGATGAATGCCTTCAAAAAGATTGAACAGCACCATGTCTCAGGTGAGTCAATTCTGGAAAAAAATCATTCGGCAAAAAACCCCGTCGTTCTTGTGCATCATGCAAAAAAAGATCAATACAAATTAATTACGCGACACGGTGAGAGATCTTTGCAAACCACCATGTTGCCATGTCATGTCTTCCTGCTGAATAGCAGAATGTAAATATTTGACAAAGCCAAGGCAATGGACATGTACACACGTCTTCATATTGGTAAAATGTACATGAGGCAAATCATGATCTCGGCAATGATACTCCGAGTAATCAAACACATCAAACCGGCGGCATAGAGCTGGGATCTTGTGAGGAGACAGCTAGGGTTACACAAATCATATCTACATATCTATTATCCTACAAAATGTATCTGCAGTTATTAGGTCGTTGTATTGTACAACACAACTGGTGACATCAGATTGATGTCAACTATTCAAGTTTTTGTGAACGTTTCAGTTCGTAGAATTTCACATTGAAGCATTCTGCTCAGGGAATTGTGGGATTGATCCTGTCTCTCCAATTTTTCCCCAGCTTTAAGCCGCTGTCAATTACACAATGATATTAGTGTGTCCTGAAAAAAAAAAAAAAAACACCAAAAACCAAGACAAGACAAGTTTCTTGGATGGGGTACTTACGATGGTGTGTTTGGAGAGACTGTCAAAACTCTGTTGAAACAGTCAGGGAGGTCATGGGAGGGGGCAGATTCCAGGGGTGGGGACACCAGGAATGGGAAGGGGGAGGGATCAACATAACATTACGGGGTGGATGAGATGGAAGAAGACATGAAGAGGGTTAGAAAGAACAGAAAAACTACAATTCCATGCCAGTGACCGCCTGTTAGCCCAAGGATTAAAGACGGTCACAAACATCTACGTGTACAACATAAAACAAGGGTCAATTCCACAACCACTACTTGAAACCATGGAAACCTTCTTCAAAATACCAGCCTTTTAGGCACAGGCAATGAAACAATGCTTATCTCAAAATTTTAAATTTCACGCAAAAATATGACGTTGGAAGTGTCGGATTCTCAATTAATGCACTTCATCAAGTCATCTTTGAAATCACAAAAGCAAATTTTTTAATTTGTCAGACAGAAATGGCATTCAACTGCACATGGTTTGAGCAATGGTAGAGAAACAAATATAACTAGGGAAATGTTGTTGGATGTGAAATTCTACCACAAGGTGCATCTACAGGTGCCTATGTACGTTAATGCACAAAACAGAACAAAAAATCAAAGAAAACACAAGTTCAACTGGTGTCTGTATATTGTGTGGAAGCGTAACATAAAGTGAAGTGCAAAATGATCTTTATCCATGTGCGTGTCAGTATTTGTCACATGTTCTACTAGTTTTTAATTCATGTGCTTAGTACATGTATACATGTGGAAAAGAAAGAACCCCCCTTTGTATTTCTTAACTATAGATCCATCATATTTTTCAAGTGTGTATGATAATTTGGTCTGCATTACTAGGGCATCGTCTCAAAACTAATATCGGATAAATAAATAGGTGCACAGAAACAATGACGATCTAGGATTGATCAGTAGCCAAGAATTATTTTGTTTCTAAAGTAGGAGATACATGTAGTTAGGAATACATGCAATTTATCAACACCATATTGCTAGACGTCTAGGGGATTTTTATTTTCATTTCATTCAATTTCTTTGAGGGGAAAGGAATATATGTACTACATATGATTGGTACAACTTTGATGGAATACCGCACTAAAATGTCACTTGTCAAAATCTTTGATTAACCCTAACCCTCCTCAATCCTTCACCTGTTGGAGGACTGAGGAGTGTTAGGGTTAAAGAATTCAACAGATACAGATTTTGGCCCACTCCGTGTCAGGCAATTGTAATTCATTAGAAGCGGCAAGGGGGGAAATTCAAATATTTTCTCATCAGCATTTGAGCTGTGAAATACACAAATGTAACTGCAACATGTTCTGCAGACATCTGCACAGTTAACTTTTGCCTGTTTCCTTACACGCGGGCCATGAATAGGCAACACATATGTCCAAAGTAAGCCCTCGTGAAAAATATCAATATATCATAACGGCTTACAAGAGAATGACAGAGACCATGTTGGCTAAAGAACTACACCACATCAAATGTGTACATATGTTGGATGACCTGACATGATATTGAAGGTGCTGGAAAAGGTTTTTACCAACCGTTTTCTTGGACTGACCTTTTGTAAATCAGAAACATGTATCTGGCTCCTGTTATTTTGCTGGAGGTAAAATGAATAGTCAAGTAACTGTTTTGCCTATTTTGAATTATTCATAAGGATGTTAATCATGTGACTGCTCTCTGGAAAGACTTTCTGTTTAATGCACCGTAAATCTGACACTTAAACTTGGTGAAATGGCCTCCCCTTTGCAAAGGAAACAAAAACAAAATTAAAACACAAAATTCTTTTGGCTCAAGACATCATTAAAAAGAAAGGGCACTTTGATTCTCAAATCTACAGTGGTATAGCAACTTTCTGGGGATGTACATTTTTATATTCAAGGAATGAAACTATCACAGATGTCTCTGTGAGCGTGTTGAGGTCAAGCAAGAGCTGACTCAGTCAACAGAAAAGAGTAAGAACATAGCAAACCATTACGACGTATGGTACCAAATGTGCCAAAATAGGTCTGGTAATGTCACCTATTATAAATAGGTGTTTACGGCCTATTTTCCAGAGAAATCGGGACAGGCTATCATGGTATAACATTAAACTTGAATCTTTTTAGCAGTGCCTTGTCTTAAGCAAAGTCAATAACCAGCACATTCCATTGTAGACAGGAGACATCTATACAGCATATGTACATGTATTAGTAAGATGTACAGCATGGTGAGCATACATTACATTCATTCACAGCAGAAAGTACAGTATGCACATTACAGCAAGGGTACCAGACCAGGGTCAGAGTGAAAACAAGGACAAAGGTTAAGATCTACACCCACAGCACAGACAAAACAAACTGTATTGTCCTTTGGTTGTGTTGAGACTGGGTACATGTATGTTTGAGCACAGATAGAACAGCGCATTACATCCATGGATTCTTCAAACCTAAGCTGAAACAAGGATACAACAGTTTTGACGAGTTCGAACAGATTAAAAAATTGATTGAGTTAGTATCAAAATAAACATCACACATCAACTGTGGACTTCTACTCCAAACCACACTGTCTACTTCCACACGAGATGATGTTCTGGAAAACTTGTCAGTTTCTGACCCGGTCATACTCACCCTGCTTAAGTCTTTTCTGACAGGGGAAGGCTTTGTCAATAAAAATTTGTTAAAAGAACAGGACAGTTTAATTGGTTACTTGGTGTATGTTAACTGTTCTGAAGATGAGAAATGTTAGTATACACGAGAGTGGACACAATAACTCTTTGTAGTTCAAGGAAAAGTCTCAATGTGCCTTCAACAAAGCAGGAAAAAAAGATTTCAGGGGAACAATGATCTAGCCCAGACAGTAAAGTTGAATTGAATTTCTGAAGATCAGTGGATAGCTAGCTGGCCTTGAAGCGTGCTTTTTGACTTGTAGAGCTGTTTAGTATTGCTCAGGAAAGAGGAAGTTGATTGGAAAGGTCTCTTCCTGGAGCTTGTTTCTTTCCAAAGGAAATCGTGATGATAACCACCTACTGACTTTCCAACAGGCCTATTGATCATTCCAAAGAAATCACTCTTAATTTTATGGACGCAACAGTTATCATGGCACTGTTTTAACTGGACTGGAGTAATGAATACATTGGCACATTAGCAAAAAGTCGAACGGATCAAAAGATTAAGCCTAATAAGTTCTGCACTTATGCATAGCATTCTCTATAACTGGTGTTCTTGGTTTAATATGAGGCTGATCATTTAAAAAACAGCGAATCCATTTTTTACCTGGCTGATGAACCATTTCAACCTCAAAACTTGCATTTATAACTATTCATTTAAGTGTCGTTTCGATCTGACTAAAGTACACCAAGCAAATAAGCTGGATAAAATGTATTGAAAGCATCCACTGAATAGGTTGAGAGGATAAAATGTATTGAATGCATCCACTGAACAGGT